GGAATGTTGAATGATGAACATGCCCCCTGTTGTATTTGCTGCTATCAATTGAGACTGATAGAATGGAGAAAAAAAAGGAAGACAAGCCTTTTTGTCTTTCATGGCAAGCACAATCTATTAAACCGGTACTTCTAATTGGCATGCAGTAGTTCAAATAAAGGTTTTATTTGAGTCCACTGCCATATTGTCTATAATAAGCATCTTCCTCCTGAGCATGCTCTGGCGCTTTAGATGATTAAGTCATGTTTGTGCTGATATACATTTTATATATCGTGGTGAACTATCTGATTATACAAGCTCTCAACTATGTTTATTCTGATTATTCTAAACAGATATTCAGTACTTTCTTGTGTACCGAATATGGTGGTCCTGGAACGCTCTTGGTCATACCTTTCCTTGACATGGCTGATAATCTAAATGAGCGGGGGTTGCTTGGAGGACCACAGGCTGCACGTGCTGCAGTCAAATGGGCTCAGGATCAATGTAGACAAGGACTGGAAAGAATGAACTGATGCCAAATAATCTAAAACCGAAAAGCCTCCTTATATCGGGGAAATTTAACATTTTTAATGTATGTTCTAAGAGATAGTTCTGGTATTGAAAAAGCTTTTATTCTTACTCTGCTTTCCTTTGAGACTGAGAAGTCATTGCGATTTGTGAACATGGCAAGTGTAAATTGATGTCTGGGAAGATTTTGTTATGATAGCAGTTTTAGAGGAAGCTTTGTATCAGAAATCCATGATGAGAATATGATCCATAAACAAAATTTTCCCATATTTGAATTAATCAGAAGAAGTTGATTTCTGGTATAAACTGTTCTGTGCTATCAATTGTCTCAGCTGCTGGCGGAAGTTTTCTAGTAGAAAAGACGTTCTATTGTCATGTGAAACAAAGAAGTGAAATCTCATAACGAAGGAGCTGGCAAGTTTTCATTTCCAAGCTGAACTGGAGAAATTATGATTGACATGAGTTACTCAAAGTGACTTAATCAGTACAAGCTGGAGTAATTTACTAGTAGAAATATAAGCTCACTGAATCAACGGTTATTTATCCCATTCAGCTCCATAACCAAAATGGAGTGCCACCAATCATATGCCATAAGCTTCCTTCTTCCACCTTGAATTCGTAATGTCAAATTCACCGTTTTCTTGCTCTTGATCTATTGGCTGTTTAGATAACTGAGATGGTTCTCTAGATTATATGAAATAAGCATGTTGCTTTATCATTGCTCACGTCAGAATCAAGTACAGAAGGCAGAAATGGAAGATGGAGGACGGAGGACGAAGTGTGAAGAAAACTGCTGAGAGGTGGATAGGACCAATCCTACAAAGTATAAATAGGACAGCATTCTCCTCATTTGTACATAAGCAAGAGAAGTTAAAGAGTGAGAAGCCACAAGCTAGATAAGGCATTAAGGACTTAAGCTTTGAGAGTCATTGTTGAGAACACATTGGCACTGTATTCAGGGAGCAATTGTACATATCCTTTAAAATAAATAAACTACTTTTGTCTTAACTTATTTCCTTACTAGCTTTCTCCTAAACTCCTGGTAAGCAAGTCTAGTTCCAGCATAAGTGTTAGGCACCCAGCCTTTGAAAGGCTGACTTTGGCATTCATATGATAGTTTTCCCCTAAGGCCATATAGTCGTTAGGCTTAAGCTTCCAGTAACAATAACATGTATCACCAATTTTTCATCTTTTTAATTTTATTTTTAATTTTTTCATTTAGAACAAAAGTTATAATATTAAAACTAAATTATTTATTACTTAATGTATGACAAAAAATAATTAATAAAAATGTCAAATTTTTTTATCAATAAAATTTAATTATTGTTTCACCTCAATATGTAATTGAATATAAAATTTTATTATTTATCAAAAAACATATTATATTTATATTTAACAAAAAAAACATAAAATTACTTTATAATATATATGTTAATAACCTTAACGAATTAAGATAAATATGCATATTAAAATTATGGTTGATAGTTTAATTTATTTTAATAAATTTTCTCTTACATTTATTAATAAATTAAAATTTTGAACTTTTATAAATTTATAATCTATTCATCTATTTATAAATTTTATACATTTTAATACCAGGTAGCACCCTCCCCTGATTTTTTTTCATTTTTTTAGCCTTTTTAATTTATAGAAAATTATAATTAATTTTTACTTAATTCAATAAAGGGGTTAGATATTTATTCGGTTCATGTACTATATGTTTTCTATTAATTCCGTACTTAGAGAATAAAAACTCGCAATTAAATACTTAAATTTTTATTTTATTAAATACTTTTATATTATGAATTAACATCGATGTGATATTAATATCTAATAAAATTATAACACATATTAAAATATCTAAACTTCGTCACATTATAAATTGCTACATCAACAATAAAAAATTTTAAAAAAAACTAAAAATTAAAAAAAATTAAAAAAGGCTAAAAGGGTCTTTAAAAGTCCAAAACATATGAAAAATAAAAACAAATCCAAAAAATCTAAACAAAATAGAAACAAAATTTCCAAAAAAGTAGAAAATTTTTTTTGAAAATTTGTAAAATCTCTAAAAAAATTCCTTTTTTTACAAATTTCTTATTTTTAAATATTCAGATATTATGTAATTTTTTATGAAAATTTTTTATTTTTTATATTTTTATATTTTTTTGGTTTTTTAAAATTTTTGTTTTTTTTAAGTTTTTAGGATTTTTATTTTTTTTTAATTTTTTAATTTTTCGTAATTTGTTTTATTATTTTTATTTTCATATATTTTCTTTTTTTTCAATTTTTTATTTTTAAAAAATTAGATTTTTTAATTTTTGGGATTTTTTCATATTTTTGGAAAATTTTAAGATTTATTTTTTAATATTTTAGATTTTTAATTTTTTTAATTTGTCAAATGTTTTTTATTTTCAAATTTCTTTGAACTTTTTAAGATTATTTTTATTTTTATTTTTTGAATTTTTTTTAATGTTAATGTGACAATTTATGATGCGAAGATAATTGAAGAGCTGCATATATATCATAATTTTATTGGATATTCATGTTATATCAACAATTTGAGTAGTTTGAAGTAATAAAGGGGATGAAAAAATAAAAAGTTTGAGTATTTAATTGCTTATTTTATTTCTTTAAGTAATAAATTGATATAAAATTTATAATACATTGAGTTATTTTTGTATTTATCCCAATATAAAATCATAATATGTATAAACAAAATATATTATATGCATATTTAATAAAAAAGATTTTATACTTTTAATTTTACTAATATATGGACACTTTTCCTTCCCCCTTTTACCATGTGGCACAAAGCTACTTTCCTTTTTTTTTTTTGTTTTTTTTTTGTTTTGTTTTCAATTTTTTTCCTCTTCCTTTTCAACTTTATTTTTTATTTTTAAAAAATTTTTTAAATATATTTTTAAAGATTTCATTTTTTAGGTGGATCTTCTATTTCTTTTTCTTTTTACAATTTTTTTCATTTTTCTAAAATCCATCTATTAAATAAATTTTGTTCTTATACGAAACTTAACTCGACTACCATGTGACACTTTTCAAATTTGTTTTAATTTTTAAAATTTTTATTGCTTTTTTTGTTTTTTTCAATATTAAATAAAATTTTTTCCTTTAATTTTTTTAAAAAGTAAGACCTACCTTATACCAATATTTTTTTGCCTTTTTCTTTTTCTTTTTTTTTTACAATTTTTTATAAATATATTTTTAAAGATTTAAATTTTTTTTGTATGAAACCCACTTGATATCAAAATATGCAACATTTTTTTAAAAACTTTTTTCATTTTTCTATTTTATTTAATAGATATTTCAAAGATTCTAAATTCTTTTTTGTGTGACCTTTGATATATAAGGTATGTCATATGACAAGTCAATTGTTTCATTTTTTCATTTTATTTTTTTAATATTTGATGAATATTTTTTAATATTATAAAATTTTTTAGAGATGCCCGTATGAAATTATTGATTAAAATTTTTTTTTATTTTTTTGTTATGTATATTTTATTATCTATTTAATTTATGTTTATATATATATTATATTAATTAAGTTATTATTTTATATCTTAATTTAAGATATTAACATTTTAAATTTGATTTAGATGTTCATATGGTAGCTCGATAATCTCTCTTTTCATTTTTTCCTTTTTTCTTTGTTTATTTATCTTTTTTCACTTATTTTTTTAATTAATTAAGTTATTATTTAATACATTGATTTAATATACTAACATTTTAAACTTAATTAGAATAATGAATGTAACATTGTGCTCGATGAGTTTCATTTTCATTTTTCATTTTCTTTTTATTTTAATGCTTTTATAATTTTTTAAGTTAAATTAATTTTGTGAAAAAGGGAAGTCAATTAAAATATTCACATAGCACCCCAATCAACTTTTTATCTTTCACATTGTTTATTTTTTGGTTAGATAAATTTTAAAATAAACACACCAATCGGTAGAGATAGCAAAATAATTTATTTCCAATGAGTTTCGATTTATTTTAATCCAATAAAGATTATTTTTTAAAAGCAAAATGGAGTCGAGATTGGATTCGGTTTTTTTAAGAGAAACAAAATTGAAATAGAATCGTGTTTAGGATACTCTATCTCAACTCATCAAAATAAAATATATAAAGTATATATATTTTATTTTAAATTTTATTATATACATTATCTTAATAAATTATTATTAGATACCTTAATTTTAGAAATTAATCTTTTAAGCTCAATGAAATAGTCTAAGTAGCATCCTCTATAATTTTTTTATTTTTGTTTTTCTTTCTTTTTTATTTTCATTTTTGTTTTTTTTGTCTTTTTTTAATTTTTTAAATAGATAAATTTTGTGAGAAAAATGAGATCATTTGAAATATGCACTTGCTATCCCCATTTGACTTTTGTTGATCTTTTATCTGTTCTTTTTTTTAATTAAAAAATTTTGTAATAAAAAATAATATTGAAAAATAGCAAAAAAAAAACCCCTCAACATCACGCCTATATTATACTAGTTTAGTTTAAAACTTATGCATTTTCCTTACTGACTACAAGATTAGCAACAATCCGGTATTATTTCCAGTCGGCCAACATTTGAGTTTTGGGAGACATTGTCTGGTAATAATGACGAAAGTAGAGGCTTCTTGAAAATAAAACCAGCAGTTGAATATGGAGAAACCATTTTCTTTCGTGCTGTTTAAATGTTAAAAAACTCATTTTCTTTGGTGCCACTACTTTTGTGTTGGTACCCTTTTCAACCATAAATTACTGGAAACATACACTTTGAATTTAAAGATGAGCTCCATGAAGGAAGAAACAATGAATAAGAAAGCCCTATTAAACCAGAACCAAGGATTCAATTTAGGATAAAATGAAATTACTTGCCTAGTGAAAGAAGATGCCAAACAATACCCTGGAGAAAAGAAAAATCAAAGTCATAAAAATAGTCTCAAAAGGCATTCACTGCCTTCCCGGCAGATGATATTATGTTCCCACAATTATGCGTTGAATATGGCTAAAATAAAACCAAAATATATGCCATATGGGGCCAATCTGGCAAATTTCAGTCAATTTTAGCTGCCGTTGACATGCCTTTGCCATAAAGAAAAATAGCATTCATATTTTGTTTGTTGCAACACGAGCTGGAAGGCCAACAATCATATAATCTTAAGGGGTTAAAACTTCTAAAAATTTTGCACCTGCACCTACACAGGAACAAACTTTAGCCCAAAGAGTGACAAAATCCTTGACTCATTTGTACTCTATAAATGTATTCTAGAACAAACCCGAAAAAAGTCTGCCTGCAATCAATTACTTAGGCTAATTCCTCCTCGATTTGACCTTCTGCAACAGTAGAAAGATGACATAAACATCCAGGAATGAATTGATTAAAATAAAACTGCAGAAATGTTAAACCGTATCCTGCAAGCCTCACCAGCAAGTTTGATAGCCAAGTTGGCTTGAGCATCAGCCTCGACATTCAACTTCTTTTAGAGGTGAGTAAGAAATGCGATCAGAAGAAAAAGTGGCAGCAAAAGAATCAAATTCAGAAATGTATTTGTATTACCCAAGCTTTAAATTATAAACACCTAAGAATAATGGTATAACAAAGAGGCAATTGTGGCAATAGAAAAAGAAACAATTATTCTACCCATTACATTGCTATTGAGCATAAAAACTGGTCATACCCTTAAAACATGATTGATCTCGAATGAAAGAAAATTATTTTTCAGTTTCTGTGCTTCCTCATACAACTCAGACAAGTGCTCATGTTTGACTCTCCATAAACCCTGCATCTGTTCAAGGAAATACCAGCTATAAGATTACTTGAACAAAGATAAATGAAGCTGCTTAACTTGAAATGATAATACTTCAATAAAATGGAAAAGTAAACTAAATGGCTTCTAAGATTTAGACCCTTATTTGAAGGCCCAGTAATATCAACACTTAGAGCTAAAAGTGTGTCCAGAGTAACAGGACAGACAAAAAAGAATAAAGATTTCCTTTCTTTCTTTTTTCTTTTTTTTTTTTTGGAAGAGAGGGAGTGTTCTAACAGGAAAGACTCTAAATCAGATTAAATACTTTTCCTATAGAACCAAGTTGAGTAGGAAAATTATGACTTTCTTATTTAAAAGTTTGTGGGGAAAAGGGGAGGAAGGGGAATGTTCTTCCCTGCAGAACCAACTAGCAACTGTCTAAAGGCTACAACTCAAAACATCTAGTCCAAACTAATGGGTCCCTAAAATGAGGAGTCTAGTAGCTCAGTAATCGAAGTCCGAGAAGAGATTGAATGGGATTGGCATACTGCATTTATTCTAAAGTATTAGCCTAGTACCAAGCATTGTCAATCCAGAATTTTCTTTCTGAGAAAAATAACATTAACAAACCAACAATAAACTGATAAAAAGTTAGAATACCTGCATACAAACGAGCTTTGAGTCACCTTTAACAGAAATGCTTGTATAACCTTTTTTAAGAGCATGTTTCAAACCTAAAATTATGGCACGATATTCAGCAGCATTACATGTTGCTATGCCCAAAGCCTCACGCAATTTGCATATCTGTTCAAATATCATATTATGGAGAGATATAGTAGTGGTAAAGAAACAATTTCTATATGGTGAATTGCATACCACATTTCCAGCATCAGTTCTCAACACAGCTGCTGCACCAGCTGGTCCAGGATTTCCTTTTGATGCACCATCAAACTCAAGAATACAGGACTGCTGCCATAAATACATAAGTTCAGGCATCAGAGCCCATTTTTGGAGCATAAATCTCATCACTTTATCCAGGCAGAAACCTTTTTCTATCCTCCCTCTCACTCTTTGCTTGAAAGAAACCCTCTTCTATCTGGTGAATAAAAAATCTAATAGCCGGATCTTAGAGCAAGAAGTACTCTAGTTTTAGGAACTAGATTCAACCATTGACTTGAAAAATAAATAAATAAACAAAGAAAAGACAATGGCCTTCACTGACTATTTTTTATTGCATCTGCTCAATTCTCTGAACTAAGATGATGCCAATATTCACCTGCATACATCAGGTGTTAACATCAAATCTACTTACACGATCAGAGGATGCTATTTGAACCTGAGCATGAGGATCCAACTTGATATGCTTTCTCACATGATCAGCTACAGCTATTGAACCAGTTGCTCCCCTTCCCTACAAAAGGTTAAAGGTGTAACACAAATTTACAAAATAATGTACATCCAATCATGTGTGTGTGCATGAGTATCAATGATGATGTTGTAAAGGAAAAATTACAACTGCTAACCTACCCCATAATCTGATTCGAACAAATCCTGTGATCTCTTTTTGGTTACATCATTCTGAGATGCTTCACCCCTGGAAGATGCTGGTTCCTTAAACACAGAAAGAAATGGGAACATTAACCTTCAAAATTATAAGAGCCAATATCTTTACCTCCTGTGAATGGTTTGAAATAGTCTTTGTAACAAAGTGAGCATGTGAAAGAAACAAAGAAGTCAAAGTACAATAGATTGATGGCATATTCAAAATCTCAAATTGCAAGTAGACCAGATTACTAGGGAGATGCAACTTGTAGGTGAAATTGCTGTCAAAAGAATTCATTCAAGTAAATAAAGACATGATGCATGTGCAGAAAGAGGGAGACAAGGTCAAAATCTTTTTTGAGCACAGTCCTCTATAAACAAACAGAAAATTCTCCATCTGCATAAGGTTCGAGCTTAAGGTCTCACCTGAAAAGGGCAGGGAATAAGTGCTCCAAAAAGATCCTCTGTCACATCTGCAGCTTTAATAGTGTAGAGGGCATTCTTAAGCCCGCAGGAGGCGAGATACTCCTCAGTATCCTTTGTCAAAGAGTAGCCTTTGTATACACTGACAGGAGGATCACATATCTACTCCAAAAAGAACAATAACAAGTCGATGTCAAAGTTAACAGAAGAGAAAGCATCCAAATTTTAACATTACTATGTTATCGCATTAGGATTATTATTTTAAATTTTAAAAAGTACATAAATAACCATAATGCAATAACATAGTCTAGCTCCATAAATAACCATAAAAGAGCGAGAAGAAATACCGAGGATCCAACTTGGGCCTGACAATCAGCAAAGCTCTTGTAAACACCAACAACATCTCCCTTTCGCACTACAAAGAATGCATCGTTATCGTTTTTCATCACCGGTTCAGGATCGACTTTTTTGGTCCTAGATGCTTTTTTTCTAGGGTTACTCTTGTGGGAAGAGTAGCACTGAGCCCGAAATCTTGTCGAGAGAAACCCTAAATCAACAGTCTTAACACCCGCGTGCTCAAAATTTCTTTTCCATAAGGGAACATGGCATTGGTTCAAAGTACTAGTTGCAATGAAATTACCAGCTTTTCTGAATATAGCCGAACCGTAAGCACGCATTTGTGAAAAGCAGTTCATCAGAGAGTAAATTCATCCAGATTGCCCAAATTTCTAGAGTTAAAAAAATATATATATATAAATTTCCAATTATATAATAAGTACCATAACAACCTTTCTATAGCATTTCGTTTTAATTGTTTCGCCCAAAAAAAACCGATGAAAAAAAAGTGATTTTGATAAGTCCTTTTCTTTTCAGCAATGGAGGACTTTCTTAGCGATAGTTAGGGAAAGGTAGTAACTGGAAACCCTAGGTAGGAAATTGATAAGGAAAACAAAGACAAAGGGAAAGACCTAAGGTGTCATATATTGTTAAAACATACCAGTGAAGCAGCCGGAATTGGAGACGAAGGTAGCTTTCCTCTGTTGATATTCACGCCAGAGGTTGAGATAAACAGAGGGAGGAAGAGTGGGAGAGATGGGCTGGGGGTTTTGGGTTTCGGCGTATTGAAAGTATAAGGGATTTGATGGTTTTACTTTTGGGTCCACTCTAACAAAATTTTCAAATTTCAAACTATTTTTAGTTTTATTTCCTTAATTTCATATTAAAAATTTTTAATTATATAAATATTTATTTTATTTTATTCTTGCTTCTCTTTCTTTCTTTTTTTTATTATTTTTGTTTTACTTTGATTTAATTTTTTTTGCCATCATTTCTTTTATTTAATTTGAATACAAGCAAATGATGTTTGTGAGAGAAGAATTGAAATAACTTTCATGAATAAAAAGATATAACTTATACAAGAAACTAGTTAATGGCCAAAAAGGAAAAAGAATTTTCTAAAATAAAAAAAAAATTGTTACAGCAAAGCTCAAATGGAAAAAGTATGCTTATGAAGACTAAATGATTCACCTTGATATGTACCACAAAGTTCTAAAGGGGTTTACATTTATTCCTGAATTACAAGCTTGTTTAAAAAGGTTTTTAAGAGGATGATCATGCCCTTTTTTCAGTTTAAACTTAAAAGCTATCATATACTAGTTTGCACCTATGTTTCATGTTTGTATCTAACAATATCAAATAATCTGACTACATATTTACTGATCATTAGGGCTTTTCCTTATGAGTCAAAGTAGTTTTCAACCCATATTAGGAAAACATCCTTAACTTGCATAAAATGATAGAAAAATTTTGAAATTCAAATCAAATTAACGTAAAAAATCATTCACCAACTTATTGCAATTATAATACAGAGGACTATATTTTAATTTGCAGATCTAAGAATATCAAACTTTTGAACCTTTTGCTGTTTAGGGACATTTTGCTGGTTTCCTTTAGCAAGTAGCTTTTTCTCTAGAGCCTTAATTTTTTCTAATGGATTTGAGGAATGTTTGTTCCATGTCATCACCACTATTTGGCTTTGATTCACTAATAACATTAAGATTGTCTATACCTTCTTTGGTGGTGTTGAGTTTCGAATTAGGGGTCAAAATCTTGAAATCACAAGAAAGAAAAGAGAGAGGTTAGGGCAGAGGTAGAGAGTGTTTCTTGCATTTGTATTCTGACGTTTAAGTTAGAGGTCATATCAAAGAGGTTGAAAGAGGAAAAAAATAATGATCTAAGAATAAAATGAGAATGGAATGATAGTACTTGAATGTTTTATTTATAGGTGAAGGGTTAGGGGTTTATGAGGTAAAAAGGTGATATAGTCGAGCTGACGTGTAACTATACATGTTAGGTCAGGCTGACATGTTAAGTCAATCCAAAAGTCAGAAATGCCTCTAACTGTCTGCTGGTGGTCTTTAATGTAAGGAATGACTTATATACCCTTTGGACCCAAAAATACCTCAAAACTCTATGCCCCATCGAACAATCTGAGTATCAAATTGATGGGTGCTTGATTGAACCCTTCTAATGTGTATACTCGGTAATCCAACCTTAGTCTTTATGAGTGCGAGCTTTTGAAAATAATGTCAAGGATCTAATCTTACATGCTAAGGTTTGACGTTGACGAGGTTGATGTGGAAGTATCGGAGAAGTTTGTGACATGTTGAGTGTAATCGTGGTTGTCTTGACTTGATGTGTGATTGTGGATGTCGAGCTAGATCTTGAGCGTGGGTTTTAAGTTGTTCATGTAGCATGTCCATTTTGAGGTTGCTGAGGTAAGTGTCTTTATGCCAATGAGCCTCGAGGTTAGGCTAACTAGCTTATGAGTAATTATTTTTGAGGCTCTTATGCCCAACATGAGACTTGTAAACTTTATTCAAAGTTTGATCCTTAAACCTAGGTTAAGGTTAGCTTGGTACTTATCATTTAACTGGTCCGCCCTGGGTTTTGTAATAAGTGTAGCCAATTTGAATAAGTGAGGAAATTTATTTACCCCTAAAATATTTGAAAATCACATTTAATGATGAAAAAGATTTTTAGGCAGTAAAATCTAGAACTAGGAAAGTGAAAAAACTCTCTCCAATAGTAGTTTGACACATGGCTTGATTTGGACTATTTATTTGATCTGAATTTTGACTACATAAATGGCTTATTATGGCCTTCATTTTTTATCTTTCTACTTTTTTGCTCTTAATCTGATCTATTTTAACCAACCTAAAAGCTTTCACCCTTTTTTCAACCTAAAAGTTTTACCTTTTTTGGTTCATCCGTCCTTCTTTCACTTTCATACATTCTATTTCTTTTTCATAATGTCTACTAATGCAAGCTTTGAGGTTCAAAGAGTTTTAAGATAATACCCAAGATAGGTCAGCTCAACTGTGAAGACAACAACAACAGGGTCCTTCAATCATTACGGGTAAGATTACAGTCAAATGGCATATTGGTTAAATCCAATGTCAAAGAAAGAGCAAAAGAGAATTGAAGACAATGCTTGCGTTAAGAGAGAGCGAGTCTATCATAGTATAGATGAGTTCTATGATGCCATTGACTTCAAGCTTTAGAACCCCTTAGTTTTATTTCCTTAGGTCCGTCAAGCTTCTCTAGCTAACCTTCATTCTTCTATTATTCTTTCTTCTGCTCATTCTGAGTCAATTGTAGTTGACATCCTTCATTACTCTTCTTTTTTTTTAGAAGTCTCTTTGTCAGTTTTCTTCCTTTGATATTATGGTGTTGTCTAACACTGTTCTAGCTCGGAATCATACTCTTGCTCAAAAGTTTAAGCCTTTTGACAATAAAAGCTCATATAATAAAGAGGGTTCTAAGAAGGAGTAATAAGGGAAGGCTAACCAAGTTGAGAAAGCTGAGGAAGAGGATGAATCCTTTTCAGATTCAAAGGCTTTGGCTCAGGTCTTTTTTTTTTTACTCCTTGTTCCTTAGGCTTAAATCCTAAGAATGTAATAAAGAGCTTAAAAGGTAGAGCTAACCTTAAGGATTACCCTAACATGTGCTCTGCTCATCACGTTTGCTCTTTAGGGGTCAACTTTGACTTTCCAAATAAAGGGTACAATGTATTAATGACAACCACCGAAGATCAGGTTACTAGTCCTCTAAAAGGTCACCAACTCTAGGTGTGCTAGGATTCAATAGTGATCGATTTAAGGTTCCATTTACATGTTTTGTTTATTGAAAATTTTTTTATAATTTAACTATCACTCAGCTCAACTTAGATTCTTTCTAGTATATAGTAGCTTTTATTTTTTCTGTAGAAATTTAGGTATTTTTTTCTCTTAAGCTTTATTTAGAAAGTTCTTTTCAGTCAAGAGGTATCTACATGATAAAATATGGTTCTATGTAATAGCTCATCCGTCTAAAAAACTATTCATAAACTACTCGAGCTCAATAAAGAACTAAATGTTATTTTTTCTTTGCATCTAGAAGGATAAAAAAAATAAAAATAATGAGCTTGAGGTGTGGGAGGTTTTGAATGAGCCCAAAATTTTTTGTGTCGAGGCCATTCATCTCTCCGTGTCTGACCAAATCGAGACAAAATTCTAAAGTTCACCAAGAGGGAAGAGTTGGTAATAGACATGAATGAGGAGACCATCTTTGAAATAGTAAACAAGTCTAAGTACTAAGTTAGGTGTAAAGTAATCTCGTAGGGTACTTAGTTTTATCAATTTTTTCTAACTGTTAGCTTGTCTTGTAGATATGTCTTCCTAACCCTCTAAGGATTTTGACTTTCACAAGTACATTCATAAGCTAAAGGCTCAAGAAAGCCAAAAGCAATTGATTCAGCTTGGGGCTTTTTCTTGAGGAGAAATAAAGTAATAAATCCCTCTACTAATCAAAAGTCGAGCTCCTTAGGTTAAATTTTTGTCGCTACCAAAGAAAAGCAAAAGTGATGGCAAGTGGACCTCGAGATCCAAATTTTGAAGCCTAGTTTGAAGAAGTTCTCTATTATCCTGGGTACGACACTGGTGAGAACCCTTTAGAGAATGTCGACATGGCCAGGAAGTTTGTAAAGGTCACGGTCCCTCTAAATAGTAAATTGTCCTTTAGTTTGGTTTTTATATTGTTCTTGTTAGTTCCACAAATTTTCAAGTTTGAGCTTTTTTTCTTTTGTAGTTTATGACAAGTTTCAATTCAACCAAGCCCTGTACCATGCTTATATGGCCTTGGCTTGTGCCTTGAAAACCAAAAAGGATCAGAAGGTTTAAGTTTGAAAAATTACAAAAATAATGACATGATTGCCAACCTATGGTCCAGCATCATTATCTCCCATAAAAAGGAGTTTGAGCAAAAGAAGAAGGATGACAACCAAATGGTCAAATTAGAATAGATGCATGTGGAAAAGGCCTTAGCTAATTCTATGAGAAAATAGGCCAAGCTTAAGCTCAATAAACCTTAAGCTAAAATTACAAGGCTGGGTCTTAATTGGAAGTTGAGCAAAAGGCAAGGGAAGAGGCCAAAGAATAATGCAAAAAGAAGATCATCAAGAAATATCTCCAATCTAGTCTAACGAAGAGGAAGAGGATGATAAGGATGATGTTGCCATGAATGCGAAACTGGAGGTTGCCTTTGCACTTAAGGCCAATGAGGTACCTGCCACTGTTGTTGAAGAAAAAAAGGATGATTGAAAAGGATAAGCTTTTTGTTTGTTATTTTTTGGTTTCTTTTTTTGTAAATTTTTGTTGAAATATTTTGTAGGTATGAGGTTGAATTTTTTGTAAGGACCTTAGGTCACTCAACCAATCTTCTATCAATCAATTTTTTGTAAACATATTCACTCAATGAAGATTTTGTCAATGAAAATAAATATTTTTTGCCCAAGTTTTAACTCGTTTTATTTTAGTACTTCTTTTGTTACTTTCATAGCTTGTTTGGATAAAGTTTCAGCTCGGATAATGAGCCTAAATAATATAAAGTGATTTAATAAATTAATCTTTTGGTAAATCAAATAACCATGAAGTCTTAGCTCAGATTAGACAAGCTTAATGGAATTTAATTAATCATTTAGAGATTCATTAAATTAACTTTAAAATCTAAATTAACACAACTCTCTGCTTGGTTATGAGGATTTAATGAATTTTCAAGGTTAGATCAGTCAACACTTGAGTTCAGGACTTTTATAATAAATGTAATCATAGTATAAACTTTATTCAATA